AAGGAAATGTTGTCTTTGTTTTTTTTTTTTTTTTTTTTTTGTATTATACACCCGAGCAAAAGGGTGGTTAGTGGTTACCTTCTTCTTGTCTTCCTCATTTTGTCGGTTGATAACATCCACGTACAGGACACTCGTTTATCAGCTGCAAGCCCTGACTTCTTTGTATCAGGGAATGCCTGCAAAAAGGCCAATGTTATAGAAAAAGATCTTTCAAACGCCAGTGGTTAACCGAACCAAAAGATTTCTATCATCTGAAAAGGTTGCAGTTAACTGATTTTGGCGCTGAATGCGTATGTTGGGCACTGGGGGATTTCATTCATTCATGTCCATCCTACAACGGTGAGGAATTGAAAAGTCAAGTTTTACCTGGCAAGTAACCTGAATGACGGCAGCAGCAGCTTCGGGTTTATTTTCTAGCAGAAAACCCTGTGATGGACGAATAGTTACCAATATTTACTTGCAGCAACGGGGAATATGTGTGGTAATACAGATGACATGAGGAAAAGCTTGCTCTGGATATCATCAAAAGCCCATAGTAGGCATTTGCGAGTGCAAGTGACTGCATCCATCCATTCCTACAAAACACGGCCCTCTTAATAAATTTTCGATTCAGACTGGTTCATTTTTCAACTCAACCAAGATCACCGAAGTCCAATCATATGATTTGATTGCCGCCACATACCAATATTATTTGGTAAATTAAGTTGCAAAGCAAAAAAACTGTTCCAATTACAACCTTCAGAATCTTTAGCCATAAAATTGAATGCCCTTAGAGATGCGTTTGCCTGGTCAAACTAGATATAGGCTTAGACTTATTTTCTAAGGAACTAGCCATTAGATTCTTCCATGAGAAACAAAAGGAAAATGGTAAAAGCTCAAATTATCCAAGTTTGTGGAGAAAGGAGCTTCAAATTATCCTATTTCGTTTCCATCGACCAACTAGCTGGATATGCTCTAATGTCACGGGAAAAAAATTCTCCCCGTGACACAGACAAAAAAAAATCCATTTTAAAAGCTTCAGTGACGATTCATACAACTACGACTTATTTTTTGGGCAATCGCCGATCAACTGTGCAAACACGCAGTACATCTAAGAAAATGTGAGATGGATGAACAGTACCCGGTTGTACGATTGACGAAGACGACACATGGCTCTGCCATTGTATAGAATCGAGGATTTGAGAAGCAGAGGAGAGGAATCTCACATCGGCTTCAACGAGAACTAACGAGTCTACGAGAGTTTGAGAGGAATTGCATGACTCGTGTTCCTTCGATTCTGAGTCAAGCCAATTAGCAAGCTGAGTTAACTCGTCAGTTTCGGAGCAGAGTCGCAATGGCCATGCTTCCGAACCAAGGCTTAGGGTTTATGTTTATTCCCAAAAAATAAAAAGCATACCAGATCAAGTAGAGATTTTGCAGAACGCCCCCTATACTTATTTCTTTTTAACTAGTTGAGCCTATTATTGTTGTTTCTTCATTACCGCCCCCAGGAGCACAGATTTCGCATATTACATTAATCTAAACTTAAAAGCCATTATTTAGACTTTGACTCCAATGCATTTGAGGCCCATTGTATTGTATTAATGTAATCTTTTTCGTTAAACTAAAATTAAAAAAAAATCGAATTTGGGGAGAGGAAAGTGTTTGCTCCTCCCAAGTCTAAGCCTCAAGTTGGGGAGGGAAATGTAATTCTAATCATATGTTTTGTTCGCGTTTACGGGATTAGCCTAAACTTTGATCCATAATATCCGGTTATCCAAAAAAAATCATGTCTATTTTCATAAATTGTCAAAAAGGAAATAACAAAAGCTATATCAAATCCTTGAATGTATTTTTTGCTAAGTAAATTTAGAATACTTCAAATGTGTCTACTAAACATAACCCTTCTATTTTATTAATAAGAAACCTTGACTAAATTGAAAATAAAATCGTTACTAGGTTAATTCCAAAAATACAAAGAAGATTGCTTTTTAACATATAAAAATTAAAAACGGCAAGTTACTTATTACCACCACGTAAAAGAAACAATGTATAGAGTAGATCTAGAAGATTTTATTATTACAAGGATCGGACATCAACACATGCGACTAATTTAATTAATTAAAATTAATCCTAAGTGTTAACTCTAAAGCTATATTAACTGTATATTATATTGGAAAAAAAAATCCATTTGTTCTTCAAGATCCACAAATTCGAAGCAATAATAAACAATAACGAGAAATAAAAGAATTGGTTACGAAAACGGTAATTACACTATGAGAAAAGTCAGATGTTGTCCGAATAAGAAATATATATATATATATATATATATATATATATATATATATTCATTGAAACAATAGAAGAATCTCGAGGGAAAAGGTGCTTTAAATGAGGATTTATTTAATTTTTTGGCAATCATGAAACATATACTCCAAATCGATACATGCAGAAGCCAGAACAACGTAACCATTTTCGCTAATCTAAACAAATAGAAGTTGAAATTATATGAAGAAATCAAAAAAAGAAAAAAGAAAAAAGAAAAGAAAAGATATTACTACAGAGATCAGAAACCCGAGTTTCTTGACTTGCCTTCCGATTGCTGCAGAGAACACTCGAAGCATTTCGAAGATAAAAAAAATGTTTTTTTTTTGGAGTTTCGAATTCCAGATTCGCATCACGCAGAAAATTGCCCCTTGGGAAGAGGCAAGGGGTGGAAACGAACGGTTCTTGATCCGTGATGAAACCCTAGAGTGTTTTGTCAAAAAACAAATGATGAAACCCTAGAGTGTGATGATCTAGTGTTTACATGGAAACAAACAATATCTTATAAATTAATATAGTATTAAAAATATGGTATATTCTATATCTCTTCCTGCATGTGAAAACCGATCCAAACCGAACCATGACAAAACCAGAAACCGGTTTACTCTGGTTCCGTTCATATTTGCCAAGTTTCATCAAAATGCGCAAAAGTACTATATATATATATAAGTTCATTACATATTTTAATTTATAAATATAGACCCCTTTTACGTTCCAATGATAAAAAATACTAATTTCCCAATCTTTACAATATAGCTTCATATATCCACTGTTTAGCATACTCTAAAATCTCAACGTTACAACAGAACGTAAATATCTCGTGACACATTGCATGGGACTAAATATAGGATCGTACGCTAAGGATCATAGCGTATGTGCATGTAAATATATATATATATATATATGTATGCATGAATATATGTATATGTATAGATATACGTAAAACAGTACGGTTAGGTGATAACCTTGTGATGGAATAACGACTCTTCGGATCGGGGTTAGGCCACCAACTTTCCACGAAACTCTTGAAAGAGCCTTTTGTGTGTGGTGACGTGGATTATTGACTTACCTCAATTTTCACATTTTCAGAAAAAACAATAATTTCATCGATTCGGAATAAAGAGGGGGGGGGGGAAGTAAAGTTGTTTTTGTATGATTCTGGCATCGCAAAGATTCGATCTCGTGACGATAAGGCGGCTAATGGAATCTTTTTTTATATATATATATATATAAATTCTCGATTCGTCACACGCAAGATTATTCTCGAGACCGACTTACGATTTCGAGTCTTCACACAACACAAAATTGAAAAATCTAAAAAATAATAAAATACATACTGAGAATTTAACGAGGTTCGATCTTTCTACATACGCTTTCATTCATAAACAAATAGTTTTACATTTATTCACTTGAGTTTTTTTTTTAATTTTGAATTTATCTGAAATTCTGATTAAGTATATAATCATACAGCAAAAAATGAAAAATCCCAAAAAAAATCATGTGTAATAATGTGTGTATTCACTTAATTAAATCTTAGAGCCAAATTTGCGGGTCTGCATTGGTGAAATATATTGTGTCTATATACCATCGACTTTGACTTTACGGTCGATGTTGCGATGAGCATAGGTTCTTACTTAACTAATTAGCCGGTGGTATTTAATTGGCGAAACACTATATGTAACTTCACATCAATATATATATATATATATATATATATATATATGAACCAATGCAACCATACAAACCATTGATTATGAGCAAAAAAATATATATATAAATCACATAATTCTTTTTATTTACGTGATCATATAGTTTCATGTAAGTGTTATAAACTTACATGCATTGCATATATAGACTATATATACCTCTAGTTCTCTTCAGAACTCATTAAACATATTGTGAAGAATGGTTCAAGCTAGGAATAAGAACCTCGGCTCAAAGTTTCTGAAGAAATCAGAAGGTATCAGGGGCAGTTTGGTAAAACAATGAAGAGGAAGGGTTGATAAGTCGTTAAACGCCACGAGGAAAGCACGTGAGGGACGATTTAAATAACAGAGAAGAAGTCATCTTCTTCATTCTTCGCTTTCGAAAAGTTTACTGTAATCTTACTCAAGTTTTGTGAGGTTCTTGTAAGTGAGATGAAAAAGAAAAAGCCTAGTGAATTTGCGGGTTCGTAATCCGCCGAGATGTACGCGATCTCACACTGAGATCGGGGAACTCGTTAAATCTGGTGTTCGTGTCTTGTGTGTGTGAGTTTCGTTTCGGCAATTGGTAATCAACATAGATTAGGGTTTATTGCTGGAAATCGATGCAAGATCAGACCAAAATAGATTAGGATTTACGGTATAAGTAATATGTTATTCCGAAACCCGTTTGTTATTATGAATATATATTCCAGTTGCTCGTGGACTTTTTGACGATCATATATATCTAAACAAAAAAGGTGTTATCTTTGAATAAGAAAAAAAAAAGGACGAATCACAAATAGAAAAAGGAAAAAACTTCGGACAAAGTTAATATATATATTGTAGCATATATACACGTGTGAGGGATTGCACTTTTTTTCCACAACTTAAAAAAGATGGAATTTAAGCCCGTACCATAGATAGAGACATGACAAGATTCGTCCGTATCAAATATTCGGACACATGCATGCAGCTAAGATCTGTTTTTTGCTGCTTGACAAAGGAACTGTTCGGTCTTTTTTCTATGGGGATTGATATCACAACTTTGATCCTTCAGCAAGAGGGCGTGAACCGACCATAACCCGGCCCTGAATTCATCATTAATATTCTCCACGATCATATCTATCTATATATCTTCCCGCGTATAATTCTAATGTGTTCTTTAATTTCCATATTTATTATGCCCCTTGTTATAACTCGTAGATATGAGATTAAATCTAGATATTGATATAAAAATCCATGCAACAAGATTCGTATAGATCGTTCATATCATAAGATTCATTTGATGAAAGGGTTTGACAATGGGCATTGTGCTCGAATAATAATAATAATAATAATTAAATATTATTATTATTATTATTATTATTATTATTATTATTATTATTATTATTATTATTATTTAGAAGAAAGAGAATCTGCTTGATTGTCAAAACCCTCTCACCTCGCGAAGCTATAAATATGGATCCTTATGGACACTCGAACGTATCAAACCAAGAAAATCAAAAGTCATTTCTCATCAATACAAATATATATCATCACATCAACTTCTCACCAAAGTCTTCTACTTCTTATATATATATATACACCTCATATATTCTCACAAAATAATACACATTTTATCCCTTTTCAATCTAATATATATATATATATATACCATTTCTCATCAAACCCTCAAACATCATCGGGGTATAGAACCTCAAAACACTTTTGACAAACATATCAATGGAGAAGCTGCAAAAGATGGTATCCGAGAAACCGGTGGTGATATTCAGCAAGAACTCGTGTTGCATGTCCCACACCATCAAGACTCTATTCTACGATTTCGGGGTGAACCCCACGATATACGAGCTCGATGAGATCGGTAGAGGG